CGAAATTTGCCATCCGTTATATACTTGTGGCTTCGAGTTTTCCTGTTTGACTGTAACACGCTTCGTATGAGTGAAAAAATACATTAACAATAAACGCCTAACATAGTCAGATGTTATAACAGTTAATGATCTAAAATATGAGCTTAAGAGTTAACAAAGCGATGCTTTACCCGTATAAAACGTCCTCATCTGATTCGTAAACCAGCGATGCGGAAGGATCATCCTTGTAATTTGCTTCTACAGATATAATAAATAAAAACAAATTTTGTTGCAAAATCACGATAGTGATACCGTTGAATTTTCAAGATGTAATCAGCATTAAAAATATTTCACAAACTCCCGACTGCAAGTGGCAATCAAATAAGCATAAAAAATTACAACCGGTAACTACCATAACCTTTGGTTAAATTTATTTTCCTCCGTTAGGCTGACAAAAGATTAGTCTAAACGTCGAGGTTAGTTTGAGAAAACGATGTTCTTATGAAGTTTGCCTGTGAGTTAAGGAGTTTCTGTTGGAACAACATAAACGTGATCAAAAGTGGCGAAACCAAGGGTATGCGAAAAACATCATACACACTAGAAGCAGGAAGCACTCTGCAAGACTATCCTTTGGGATGTGGGTATCAGAAACTGCGGTTTCTACGCCACGAGCATGCCTTTCTATCAACTGACTGAATTTATCCTAATGCTTACTGTTCCAGTGCAAATTTATTCATAATCGACTTAATTTTCGCAAATGAGTCGAAAACTACAGGTTGAAATTTTCACCGACACTTGAACGAATCGTTCTTAAGCTATATACAGTCTCTCGACAACACGCCTGCCGAAAACCAAACAATGAGTAAAGCTCTAGGGAACCCCCGTATTATCTATAACGCAACTAAAAGTTTATACTATTTATGGAATAGCTCGTTTGGATTGGTTTTTGTAAGGGTTTGTCACTTTAGCACTGAGTAATTTTTTTGTAAATCGCATTAGGATGTGAAACGCATTTGCCGCACAACATCAAAAAAGTTCTAATAACTCCCAAAATCAATCTCCAAAGCATTCGGACAAGCTGATCGTTGCTGGGATGTCTGGAACTCCAGAGAAGTAAACCTGCATAATCTCCTAGAACTTTCCATTCTTGCGCAAAACTTTCAATCATTCTAGAAATTGTGCCTTTACCCTCCCATGGGATTGGCCGGGACTATGTGCTCAAATACTCTTGAAATACAGTAACGGTCACTTTAGTCCCAAGGTCAATTTACTACCATAAACTGAGTGACCCAGCCTCAAGTGCAATTTCTGACTCGGCCTCAGCCAGCCTCCTCGAGTCAGCAACTAGGTCCGTACTCGCACGTCACATCGTTGTGCTGACACCCGCATTTAGCAATAGAGAATTCAATCCTTAAGGCCTTACCCATTCATCTGATTGGTGAGCTCCATAGGACCCGGGCTACTCGAGCATAGAAACTCCAGTTAATAACAGTGGCACCTCAGATTACAACCGTCTAAATAAATTGCATCGCTCTTTTGAATTTGGCATTTTTCTATACAACCCGACCATGGAATTGCATCCATGGTATCCGACTATTGCTACAACATGTATCTAATGAAAATGGCGAGAATGCCGCTCTACGGTTTACATCTTTATTGCTAAGATATTAAACCTACCCACTTAATCTGGACCTAGAAACAACAGCAACGCATGTGTTCCAGTATCGAGGATAGAGGATTTTTCAGAACGAGATGCACAAATGAGTAACTCATCAATGGAAATACGATCTTTTAAACTACTTCTAGGTGTTGCGTTCCACTACTGCTCACAGTATCTTCTTCGAAAGCTTCCCACTATGGCAGAAAAACGCTTCTATTACTTACTAATTTAACTGTTGCTGATGCAAACTAGATAGAACCACGTCAACATGCAATCTTATAGGAAAGTAGCAGCTAGAACAGTAAAGAGCACCATGTCAGTAAGTCGATGCACATTCCTCTGTTTTATAATGCATGAACGTAAGCGATCACATGCATTTTAAAAGTGGCCATGAGTTATGGTACAAAAAGTCATTGCAACACGCCATACTGAAAACTGCTGTACGAAATTCCGTTGTCATGATTAATAAAGTATTATTTGTTCAAACACCGTCTGGAATTACCATCTGTAGTTTTAATTGACAGCAGTTTGAGACAGGTAAATTTCCGCCGAAACAGTGAACAAAAGAATAAATCTGCTTGGTTGATAGCAATACGTGATTGCGGCACAAACACAATTATTTATGAACGAATAATCTGTTGGTATCAGACGCGTTTGTACATTGGCTTACAATGTGATATGACACGCTGATCATACAAACCACAAAACTAGCGTTTTAGCTCCTCCGACGCGTATAATAGGGCAACTGAGAGCATCATGCGCCTTATAAGGGTCTTAGAAATTGATGGAAGGTTACGAAGCTTTTAAGCCTCTTTCTATGGGTTGGGCACAAAACCAAAATTTCTTCAAAATTAAGAAGAACCCGTCCTTACCCGCGAGAGCAGTACTGGCGGGCGAGTAGGCAATGACCATAAGGAGTGCAAAGCAGAAGACGATACTGAAGTTAAGAGTGAGCTCAAGAGCGGAGCGGAAGGAGGTGAAAGCAGCGCCGCTAGGAGTCACTGGAAATCCCTCAAAGGGAGTAGCAACCTCGGTAGTGACAGGACGAAGGTAAAAGGCCGGACCATAGGGATTGAAACGCAGGCCCATCACCACTAGAAAATTGACGGCCATCAGCAGGACTGGAATGAGCAGGAGAGTCAAGCGCAGATCTGAAATAAGAGTGGAAGGCGGTGTAACAACGAAGGCATTACCATCCGCTAGTATAATCAAAAACCGACAATGAAGTAAAACCGGAAATCTCGAAGGTATAGGGGTATAATGAATGAAGAATTTC